CCCCTGCGCGGCGCGGGGCAGGGCGGGAAGGAGGCGGCCTGAGGGGACGGGGAGGAGACAACCACCGCACCACCCCCCGCGGTTGAAGGCAAAGAGGCAATTAAGGTGGACAAATAATTTTTATTCGTGCATGCAAATACATGTCAATACTGCAAACTTCTTCCATCAAGTCTCTCAAACACTGAAAACCAGGATGCTCTACTCCGTGACCAGCCACAGCCAAAACCTCGTCACTTCAGTGCTACAGCAAACACAGTCGGCGGCCGGGCCCCTACCTCTACCACCACGGGAAACAGACCATCGCAACTCCAAACCCAAAGAAACGGAATAGAATTTACTCCCCCATATATCCCCATTTCATTTTACAGATTATTTTTTTTTTTCTTTAAATTATAGTTTTAAATAGAAGCTGAGAATGCGCCATAAAAATGAGCATTAAATCCATCGTAGCGATGGTGCCTGCTTTATACATGATGGGTGTACACCATCTTTTATTTCATTTACATTTCAATCGAACAATAGATTTGCAAAGAAAATGTCTAATACAGACGTAAAAATATTCACACTAGAGCTTCACAATCGGTTGTACAATTGACAAACAGGCCTCTTTTCCCAAACTTTCCAGCTAAGCAAATTTATAAAATGTAATCAATGCAACAAGAAAAAAAATTTTCTTTTAAAACTTCCAGGGAAAAGAATACGCAGTAAACAGTATAAATGCGGACAGCAGATGCTGCAAGCGAACCACAATACTTCTGAGTGGCTGTACAGTGGGTATGTGCAGTACAAATAAAAGCCACGTGTGTTGTATCACAACTACCGTATAATGTACTTGTTTGCCCAGCTAAGAAAATGCATGCATTCCCATGCCTTGGATTAACTGAGATCTACTCTGGATAAATTGATGGGCTATGTGCAAATGACCTTGGCTTTTGGCAGTAATAAACGCAGCCAGGCTCTGTTTTAGTTCAGCTTTTACAGCAAAATCTTGAGTGATTAAAAGCTTCCACAAGCATCCTTCGTAAGTAACGGGGTGTAGTATTGCGTTGGGCTATTGGTCATTTTGGTCATTCAGATTTGTTTTATTTCATCAGTGACAGTCGGCTGTGGTTTGTTGTTTTTTTTTTCTTGTCGTGCTCCCTTGCCAGCAAAGAGATACACGGCCATGACTACTGCCAAAGTCAGCTTTTCATTTATACTGGAAAATGGGTCGTTTAAAAAAGCACATTTATTGTGTTCTGCTTGCAGAAGAGGTCCCTCAATGAGAGGGAATTTCCTAACAAAGGGATTAAACCACAACATAAAGAATGGATTTTTACATACTATAGATAATCCGATCATTTCTCATTTTGTTACACTCTCAAATTCAACATCTTCCTTTAATAACAGTCTAATAATAATGAAAAGTCTGTTCACAAATATGATCAAGGAGCTGCTGGTATACAGTGTTTATGTACAGCAACAGGTACAACTTGACAACTTGTGCTTTAAAAAAAGCAAACAAAACCAATGTTTGGAACTATTCTGAGTTTAGATCAGTTGTAAGCGTTCTTTCCTCAGCTGTTTCTGACCACTGTGCATTGTTTTGTACCTCATCCAGCCTAGTACACTATTATACAAGAACAGCATTCAGCTCTTGAGTACAGGATAAATTATAATTTCAGTTGTGTTATCAAAGCACTAAAACCTTCCAAATTAGACTTCTACAAAGAGCAATTAAGAGCTTATTTAATATAATCAGCTGTGTACAACTTTTTTTTCCCCTAAAATGTCAAACTTGAGTGTCCCTGTACTACACTACCAAGAACCAACGCCAGTTTGCTTTGCAAAGAGTCTAACCTTTCCTTTGAAGGGTCTAGTATACATTCTACAATGCAAAATCTGCATAAACACTAAGATTCATTTCTTGTCACCTGTTTACAGGAACAAAATATCAGCAGCAGGGCAATCACTCTGCTATAAGTATATGTTAAGAATGTACAGATAATTACTTTCTCACACAAGCATTCTCCCAGCACAAGCATTAGTCTCTATTAAAGACCTATGTGGGAAATGAGGCAAACCAAGGAATAAATCCAGGTAGTGAGGCAACACAATTAATTTAGATACTAATAATTCCTGTATCTCTTGCATGTGAAATCCCTGCTGTACCCCTAGTGGGGGGAAAAAAAAAAAACAAAACAAAACAAAAAAAACAACACCAAACCAAAACAACCCAAAATGCTTGTCCAAGCAAAGCAAAAGAGCCAATCTCTTTCTCCAATCTGCTATGGGCCTTTTTTCTGACAGCACAGGTAAGTTCAGCCAAAACCTAAATGGAAATCACTGCTATTAACACACAAAGATTAGTCACTGTATCTCGGTGTCAGAAAATAAGCCCTTCCGTAGCCCAAAGGCACCTGATTTGCAACTAGACAAATGAATACATACTTGTTTGTATAGGGTCAAGGGCTGCAACTTCACCAAAGGAAGCCAGAACTAGGTTCCCAGCTGTAGCTTCTCCTGTCAGGGCACTGGAGGGCATAGTTTCATGGCAAAAACCACACAGTCAGTGTTAAAACCCTAAGACAAAGCCCAAAGAATTCTTTTGCCTGTCATTCTATATATTAAAAATTCAACTAAAAAAACCTAGCCTCAGTTAAGAACCAACTTTCCACATGAAGTGTATGGTCATCCTAGAGAACTGCTATATCATGGGACCTCCTGCTGCAGACAAGAGTATATAGATACGTCTGTTCTTAAATACGCCAATATGGTTGGCAGGAATACGTTAGGCTTATGTAATTTCACTGGACGAACAGGCAAATGTGTGTAAGCAGCTTATCCCAATCCCCCTCCAGCAGAGCACAACCAAGTTTTTAAAATTGCAATTTTAAAATTAAAAAGTTAAGGTAAATACACAATCAATTTATGTAGTATATATTCACCCTCAGATCATGCTGAAGATGTTCTGTGGAGTTCTGGTGCACAGAGGGCTCTTTCCCAAAAAAACCCTGAGGGCAAATAAGGACTTCTCAAACCTTTATATTTTCTCTATTTTTGTAACAAAATAGCAATTTAAAATTTAAAAATCTTTTAAAAAAATTACATCACCTTCAACATGGAAGATCTCACTGTTTAAATATCCATGAAAGAGACA